GTGAGATTTGGAGGGAGGGCAGAGAGAGCCCAGCTTTTCATTTTAGCTCTTCAGAACTTTGTAACATTAACCATAGTGCTCTGCAGGCCAGACGATGCTATGGAACCCAGCCTGGGTAAATCTGAGCACATATTCTGTAGGTTTTTGTTTCTCTCCTGAAAGAGGCGGCCCTCGTTAAGCTCGGAGCGTGGTGTGTGATTTAACCACAGAGAATCCTGCCGGGAGACTCAGACGTGCCAGGCCGCCCTATCACTAGGGCTCTCGCAGGGAATTCCTCAGTCCATTTAGGAAGGTGAGCTTGAGAGCAGTGACTCATTCCCTGCACCAAGGCTCCTGTCCCCACAAAAGGAGATTCTTCAGATTAAGTGTCTAGTAGGGCGCCTCGCACCCAGCAGCTCTAAGTAGTGGGGTTTATGCCAGGAGAGAGGGGAGGGGATGATAGGCTCTGTGGGGTAAGAGTAACGTAGGTTCTCTGAGAGACGTGGGGGCTATGGATAAAAACTGAAGATAGATAAAGATAAGTGTTTGCCTGTTTACTTATACCCGCATGGTGTAGGTAAAAAGGTTCTTTAAATTCTACCTCCTGTATCACTTGCTCTGTGACCTTGGACAAATCACCTCCCGTCTTTGGACCTCACTTTCCTCATCTATAGAATAGAGACTGGTACTAAATTTTTGTTGCCATCTAGTTCAACTATAACATTTTATGTTAATCTAATAATCCAAGTACAGAAAAGAAGAAACCACTGATCATGCTGCTAACATTAAATGACCTGGATCCTGGGCATGCAGTCTCTGGGCTATCCATCAGGGCTCTTCCCCTGGGGAAGGAACATCACACCTTCCCAAATGCTCAGCCTCCTCACTCTGACCCTACCTTCAAGGTCAAAAAGAAAAGACCACCACACCATCTATTCTCCCTCAAGCCCAGAAGCATTTTTTTTAAGATTTTTATTTATTTATTTATTTATTTATGCATACAAGAACTGGGGTGTAGGCCAGGGGTGAGGGGAGTAAGAGGATTCACCAGAGACAGAGTGGGGAGCAGATCTACTGAAATATACTGCTAAGGGGAGCAGCAGGGGAGATAGGAGAGGTCTGCTGCGCCACATGGGTCAGGTCCCTGGCCGGGGATCAAACTCAAGCTACGGTGGCTGCTGACAGCTTGATAGCACTGTGTCTTTACTCCTGCGCCACCACGGAGGCCCTCCAGAAGCATTTAAATGAAATGAAAAAATTATTTTGTGTCTTATGGCTCTTCATGGTATAGTGGCCAAAGCCCTAGAGTAGGAGTCAGATCCCCAGTCCCACCTTGGTCTATTACTGGTTCACTGTGTGACCTGGAACAAGACACTTCTGGTTTTAGCATTATCTAAAAAACAAGGGTTTAAATGGGTTTCTCTTTATGAGCCTTGCTCCTACTTTCCCCTGCTCTGCCCTATGCTGGCTACCAAGGCTGTGAGAGGTGAGAATCTGCAGGCTAGCATTCCACCTAATGTTCCCAGCAACAGCATGCAGCTGCAGGCACCCCCCAGCAGGCTGGTGCCAAAATTCAAGCACAGCCAAGTGTCCACTCCCAGAATTCGAGCTCAGCACTGGGAGCCAGAATGAGGAAAGATGTACAGGGTCAGGAAGAGACCCAGTAAGTGTGGGACTCTCCAGCCAGGACATGCTACCCAGATCCAAAGCTGGATTCTGCAACTTTTCTCACAGATGTTCTTTTACTTGTAGGATAATGACAGACAAGGCCTCCAAAGAAATCAGAACCACATTCTTCAGGAACCACATTGGGGCAGGGAGTGGAGTTCAAGGTCACTGCTTGTTAATACACACAGTTTCAGTTCAGGTATAACATATAGGAAAATGTACACATACCTATACCACTTGATATATTTTCATGAAATTAACACATCCATGATATAAGCACCCAGGTTAAGAAATAAAACAATACCTACCACCACCCCAAAACTGCCTTCATACCCCCTACCAGTCACTACTCCCCCAAGAATAACCATTATTCTGAATTCTAGCACAACTGATTCATTTTGCCCTTTTTTTGGAATTATACAGTACTCTTTAGCGTCTGGCTTCCTTTATTGAACATTGTTTGTGAGCTTCATCCATCATTACAGTTAAAGTAAAAAATTATTGTCATTCATTTTCATTTTTGTGTGCTAAGGACTTAATAAGGAGCTAAAACCAGTGAGGCAGCTCTAAGTTTAGGTTCAGATACTCAACTGATGGCAGGGTTTACAAACAGCTCTTCCAAAATAAGAATAATCCCTCTTACTGTTCTTCCATGCAGTCCCACACCTTCCTCCTAGGGGACTGCAGAGGTGGGAGTCTGGGCCCCAAATTTATTTCAAAGGCCAAAAACTCTTGTCTTTGAGACCTGCCCTGTGCCTGGCTCTGTGAGGGACACCTGAGACTCAGCATCTAATTTAGTCCCCACAACTGTGAGGATTGTGCTGCTATTAATCCTTACTAAGAAACTAAGGCCCAGAGAGATTGAGTCATTTGTCCTAAAAGTTATACAGCTAGGAAGAGGACCCAAACCCCAAGCTGTGTGAGCTCTAAGGAAAGCCGAACCTCCCAACCACCCTATGTTAGCAGGGAGCTCACCAGCTAAATCCAGCCCCCACCTATGTTCCCAACTTCAACTAGCACCACGGACCCCCGGCTCACATTCCAAGGTCACACTGGCCTCCTGGGGCTCTTCCTCACCTCAGGGCCTGTGTCCAGGCAGTTGTTTTAGCCTGTGTGTCTACTCTTCAGCTACTCCTCAGGGCAGCCCTCCCCATCTAAACGAAGCACCCTATTTTCTCTCAGAGCACCTAGTTCTCTTCCATAGCCTAGTTCACTTCAATAGCAAGTGTTCACTTGCTTTGTTTAGTTTAATTTCTCCACCAATGGATCATAAGCTACAAGAGGACAGGATCATGTCTGTTTACCATTTTATGGCACAAGAATATGTTAAGTGAAGAAAAGGAGGGGAGGAGAGAGGGGACTTCAGAAGTCAAGTGCCCCAGGCAGATCCTGTCCCTCTCAGAGGCTTAGTTTCCTCAATTATCAAATGAAGGGCCTGGAAAAAAGGCCTTCTAAAGGTCTTCCACTTTATCTGATCTCTAGACCACAAATCCTAGGATATAAAGTCATCCCAAAGGCCTCAGGCCTCTACTGCTTCTTATCTACCCTATATCCAGGATGTGTTTAGGGGGGACTCACCCAAAGCTCACCAGGCTATGAGGTATATGGGGTCTTCCCATTCTGTTGCATGTAGAGGATCAGAAAACATAAGGTCTCTTCCACTTCTAAAAGCTCTCAAGCACAGAGTAGGGGAGAGACAAGACTAAGAAGAAATAACGGATGAATTCCCTAGGAAACAGCATCTACTTCCTTCTTAGAGACCCACACCCCTACTTCTCAGTTTTGAGCCCATCCAATACTAGTCCTATCCAGCCCCACCCTTGTTATGTGTGGGGCTGCACCCACTGCCAGGCTGAGCTCCAGGAGAGCAGAGACTATCCGTATCTTGCTCATCTTTGTACCAACAGCACTTAGCACAGACCCTATGCATGAGATGGGGCCAAGGTGAGGCACCAAATCACATGTCATTGGTAGGGCCTGCTGCTGAGGGTGCCACTTTCTCCCTGCTATCACTGAGCACAGAAGAAGCACCTGGGGCTAAAAGAACCTGGTTTTCCATTCATACACCAACTGACCCCCCAACCCCAGTCTCTTTGCTAGACCCCACATAGCCAGTGGCAGCTGTCTCAGATAGAAGGCTAAGGAATCATGTCCCTATAGGGTCTTTGCAGTTACTTGCTCCTCTACCCAGCCAGCCAGGTAAAGCATTCCCTGAAACTAAAGCAACTCTGCCTCCCATTTTTCTCAAACTAAGATTCCTCTGACTTTGAATTCTCTCTGTTTTGTCTAGGGAAGAAAAAGAAAGAGACGGCAGGAGAGTGGAGGGAAGAGGTCATAAGCAGAGCTCTACAAAGATCTCTCTTTGGAGAGAGCTCTACAAAGGAGTTAAGGCTTCCTGTTTGTGTCTTGGAAACAGTGAAGGTCCAAAACGCCCAGGTTTTTACTCTGTGGGGTGTGTGAAGAGATGAATTGGGTGTACAGGTGTATATATGTGAGTGTGCAAATGTTGTATCACAGGAGAGCACATAATAGTCATGCAGACACCAAACACAGAGGTCAGATCTTGATCTTGTCACTTCCTATCTGAGCAACTTGGGGCAACTTGATTAAACTCTATGGACCACAGTTTCCTCATCTAAAAAACTAGGATAAAAATAAATCCTATTTCATGCACTGTTGTGAGAAGCAAACATCAGGAATGGTATTCTATAATCATTAAAACATCATCTAAATATTAGCAACTGTTAGAAATGGTAGGCAAGGAGAACTTCAGAAAATTTTCATTTCTCTCCAACTGGTAACTACTTTCAGATCTCAGAGTTTATCCCTGGCTATGTTCTGGGCTTAGCCAACCTGACAAGGTACCCAGACGCTCAGAGCCCAGGAACCTTCACAACTAGGCTCATATGGCTTGTTACTCAATGCAAATCCACTTTCAGGAAGATTACTTCACCTCCCATTCAGGCTCTGAGCTTAGGAAACAAAATCCTGGGAACCACGGAGAATACTAAGTGGGACTCAGAAGAAAACCAACAGGTCAGGTCTCTGTCCAGAGTGTGGCGAGGGCTTTGTGTGAAAAGTACCAGAAAAAATAAGTATCATTTAGATTCTGTAGATTATACTAAAAACACAGCATCAACAATTCTAGCACCGTCTGCTGAGCAAGTCTTTATTTTCAGACAGATGACTCTTTGCAGAGCTGCCCATGGAATTGAATAAACCTCAGGGTTGTATTTACAGCTTCCCATGAGTCCTGTAATAAGCCCAGGCTCCCCAACACCAAACTGAAGTGCACCAAGAGAAGTGAATCTGGGTTCTGTCTTACACCCCCTCCACCTCTCACAGCCTCTTACCTTCCCAGCTCCTCGCCAATGTCGTAGAAATCCTCCACCTTCTGCTGCTTGAACGTCTCCATGTTTGGGCTCCTCATTGAGGCCTAGACATCCAAACCTGAAACAGTAACAAAACTGAGGTTAGGATGGCCATGGAAACAGGCACAAGCCTAAGAGTCTGGGCCTCAGAGTAATCACCTACAGGTTCCTGTAGGAACAAATCACCTGGTTCCTCAAGAACTGCCCCCTTAAGCCTTGTCTCGCATGTAGCTGATGATGCATGGTACCTATCTGACTGATATTAATTCAGCTGTGTTAAAGAAACAGAAAAAGAGTCCTCCCCACTTCTTCAGAACTACTCTGAACAAGTTCAGAGACAGACTCATGACTAGCTTTGGCAATTTGCTCTCATGAAATTCAGAACTACTGAGAAAAGACAAAGCTGTGATGCAGTGAAAAGAACACTAGCTTTTCCAGGTTCCAGTCCCAATTTTGCTCGGTAAGTTATTTAAACTGCCAGAGACTAAACTTCCCCATTTGTAAAAGGGGTTACTACTATTAAAAAAAAAAACAAAACACTGCAAATCACGAAATTATTTTGTAAACTATCCAATGCAATAGAAAGGTAAGGGATTATCATGACCTCAGCTCCCTCAGGGGCTGTGACACACAATTGCAAGTCTGAACTGATTTGTAAACTCTCACTCATCACCCCAAGGGAAAGAAGGGCGGGAGGGGTGTGACAAATTACAACAGGCACCAGGAGTCAGGAGCCTGAGGTCTAGTTCTAGCTTTGCCTGCAACAAGTTCTGTGACCTCATCTCTTGTCAGAGGAGCCTCAGTTTCTTCACCTATACGATAGAGTTAACTCTGCCTTGCCCAGGAACCAAAGGACAGCTCTGAGTCATGGGGGAATGCTTACCAACCAGTCCACCAGAAGAGGCTTTTTGCATCCTACTGTGGGGTCCCTGTTCCCCCAAGGAGCTCACCCATCCTTGGGACAGCCACCTGCCACCCTGGACAACACCCCAAGGACAGGACTCATTAACAGTCTTCAAATCACAAAGATAAAACCAGCTACCTGTGGATGGATCTTTCAGGAGTTATAAGCAAATGACCTCTCAGAGATCATTTTGGCTAGCTTTGGCAGCTTTTCTTCTGCCTGCCAATCAGATACCAACCACGCCTGGGCCACATGAGCTCCAAAAGACTGTTTTCACCAGACTGGGTGGAGGCACCATTACATAAGAGCTCATCTCGGCTCATCGATGTGATGTGGCTGAAGCTATTCTAACTCCTAGGACATGTATCATCTCCCCTCTGTCCTCCACCCTTGCCCTCCTGCAAAACCCCCCTGCCTCTCTCCCTCCCACATACATTCCTGAAGACCTCCAGGCATTGCTGACCAAGCTCTCAGGCCTTAATCTGCCAGTCTTCTTCCTGTCAGTGCCCAAAGTCCATCACACATCCTCCTCCATGCTTGGTCTCTGCTCTGTGCCCATTCAGGGCCCAGCAAGCCTAGAATATAGAAAAGAACAGCTCCAGGAGTCCTATTCTAGACTGATCTGGTGTAGATAAGCTATGTATGGGATGACTCATCCCAGGGCACTGTTTGTGTTGTGGCCTCACACAATCCTTGTGACAACCAATTCAGGTCGTTTCTGAGGAAAAAGTTTTGGGGTCTCCTGGCAAGCTTGGCTTGGGCAGAATCAGAAGGTTGATCCACCCTCACCACCACCCTCACCCAGAGGGAGGCAGGGCTCTTATCTGCCATCTTCTTTTTGCTGGGGAAAAATTATCTCCACATAAACCATTTGGATAAGGTCAGGGGAGTGGAGTTACTAATTCCACACAGCCAGACAGAAGCAGGAAACTCCAAACAAGTCTATTGTCACATAACCTGAGAGTGGTCCCAGGAACAGCTAAGACTCTCCACTGGCAAAAGGCCAGTTCCATTTGCTCTGTCAGGAGCTGGGCTGGATTCGAAGCAGCCTCAGCTCCCCAGCAATACCAGAGCCCCTGCTTTGGACTCCACATCTGGATGACCAGAAGTGGGGGGTAGGAAAGCTCCCTACAGACAAACTAAATCCACCAGTCTGACCCCACCTCACCTTTCCAGGTTAGCTCCCCCCTTTCCTCACATAGCCTATATTACAGCCAGATAAACCTTTCCCATTTCTCCAAAACTCACCCCACCATGCCTCACTCAAGCTGAGTCCTTTCCTTTAGGGCCCCCTCTGGAAAGCCCTTCTACCCATTTCCTGCAAGGCCCTATGCAAATGCTACCATCTTTGTGAGGTTCCATGACCCTTTTCCACAGCAGAACAGGTTAAAATTCCCTTCTCTTTAAAAGCCCAGAGAGGGCTCGTCATACATTTTTGGGAGTTAGAACTTATTATATTCTGGTCCATCATAATCTTTGTCCATGTCTAATCCAGGGGGAGAGAGCACAGATTTCACAGTCACAGGGCCTGGGTTCGAATCCCACCTCTGCCACATACTAACACACTCAGAACACAGAAGTTTTCTAAATTTCAAATTATTTACATGGAAAATGAGTCCAGAAAAAAACTAGTGTTGTTAAAAAGTGGAGTGACTAGAACTCTCACACAGTACTAGAGGAGTATATACTGGCACAGCCACTCTAGAAAATTATTGGGCAGTTATTATGGACATACCTAGAGAAATGTGTGCTAATGATCTCCAAAGCAGTCCACGTTAGAATGGCCATGGTAGCACTACTAGTAATAAGTTAAGCATTAAAAACTAGATGGCCATCAATAGAAGAATGGACACATAAACTGAGGTATATCCTCAATGGAATACGAGAATAAACAAACTCCTACTACCTGCAACAAAACTCACTACCTCAAACATGACTTGAATGAAGGGAACCAGACACAAAGGACTATTTACTGTGTTGATTCCATATTCTGTAAAACAAACCTATGATACTAGAAGTCAGAATAGTGGTGACATGTGTGTGGTAGGGGTGGGGGTTATCCTGGAACAAAACAATAGGGAATTTCTGGGTGTTGGTAATGCTGTTTCTTGCTCTGGGTGGTAGTTATGTGGATATATAGGATGCACACTTTTATATGCAATCAAAATCTTACATAACGAAACAATAAGTCTAATATCTTCTTTGTGGGAAAAACAAGAAAACAAATGTAAGGTGTTTTAAATAGCGCCTGGACAGACCCAACAAATGTGAGTTTCCTCCCTCCCACCTTTTGTCTTGGAGCCTGTGAGGAAGGGGTTGTGACAATCTCACCTCCGTCCCCTTGCCTTTTTTTTTTTTTTTAAGATTTATTTATTTATACAAAAACCAGGGTACAGGCTAGATGTGCGGGAGGGTGAGAGGATTCACCAAAGACAGAGCAGGGAACAGAACAGACAGACCGACAGAGTACACTGCTGAGCGTGAGCAGCGGGCGAGACTGGAGAGGTCTGCTGTGCCATGTGGGATTCTCGCCGGCCGGCTGGGATCAAACCCACACTGCAGAGGCTGCAGACAGCTTCACAGTGAGGCCCTCAACCACCTGCACCACCAGGGAGGCCCCTCTGTCCCCTTGCAATTTCCAGCACTGTATAGATGTTGGTTGATTTCAATTTAATGTCCCAGCCTCTCTTCTCAAGGCTGTTGCTCAGTTTCCTCATCAGTTCAAAACAGCTGCTAATGGTAATAAGAGGAAAACATATAGCAATAGAGGCTCACATCAAGAAACAAGGAAGAACTCAAAGAAACAACCTAATCTCGAATAGAAGAAAAGAAATAATAAAAACCAAAGCAGAAATAAATGAAATTGAAACTAAAAAAACAATCCAAAAGATCAACGAAACCAAGAGCTGGTTCTTTGAAAAAATAAATAAAGTAGACAAACCCCTAGCCAGGCTCACAAAGGAAAAAAAGGAGAAAGCACAAATAAACAGGATCATAAATGAAAAGGAGAAATCACAACGGACAGAGCAGAAATCAAAAGAATAATCAGTAACTACTATGAACAGTTATATGGAAACAAGTTCAACAATCTAGAGGAGATGGACAAATTCCTACAACTCTACAATCACCCAAAGCTAGATAAAGAAGAAATAGAACACCTAAACAGACCAATTACAAGCAGCGAAATTGAAATGGTAATCAAAAACCTCCCCAAAAACAAAAGCCCAGGACCTGATGGATTTACAAATGAATTCTACCAAACATTCAGAACGAATTAGTGCCTATCCTTCACAAACTCTTCCAAAAAATTTAGAAGGAAGGGATAATACCAAACATGTTCTATGAAGCCAACATTACACTAATACCAAAACCTAACGAGGACAACACAAAAAAGGAAAACTACAGGCCAATCTCCCTAATGAACACTGATGCAAAAATCCTCAATAAAATTTTTACTATCAGAATCCAACAATGTATCCATAAGATAATTCACCACGACCAAGTAAGATTCATTCCAGGAACACAAGGATGGTTCAACATCCGAAAATCAATCAACGTTATCCAACACATCAACAAAAAGAAATATAAAAACCATATGATAATATCAATAGATGCCGAGAAAGCTTTTGACAAAGTGCAACACCCATTCATGATAAAAGCCCTTGAAATTCTTGGGATACAAGGAACATACCTCAACATCATAAAGGCCATATATGACAAGCCAACAGCCAGTATCATTCTCAATGGCGAAAAGCTGAAAGCAATTCCATTAAGATCTGGGACAAGACAAGGATGTCCTCTCTCACCACTGCTTTTCAATATAATACTGGAAGTCCTAGCCAGAGCAATAAGACAAGAGAAAGACATACAAGGAATCCAAATAGGAAAAGAAGAAGTCAAACTATCACTATTTGCAGATGATATGATAATATACATAAAGAACCCCAAAAACTCCACAGAAAAACTAATTCAACTCATCAATCAGTTCAGTAAAGTGGCAGGATACAAAATCAACACGCAAAAATCAGTAGTCTTTCTATACACAAACAATAAATCTGAAGAAGAAGAAATCAAAAAAGCATCCCTTTTACTATTGAAACAAAAAAAAATCAAATACTTGGGAATAAATCTAACAAAAGAGGTAAAGGACCTATACAAAGAAAACTATAACACACTGTTAAAAGAAATAGAAGACACAAAGAAATGGAAAGACATCCCCTGCTCATGGATTGGAAGCATAAACATTATTAAAATGGCCATCCTACCAAAAGCAATATACAGATTCAATGCTATTCCAATCAAAATTTCAATGTCATTCTTCAAAGAAATAGAACAATTATTGATGAAATTCATATGGAATCACAAAAAACCCCGAAATGCCAAAGCTCTCCTGAAAAAGAAAGAAGGGAATGGAGGCATCACACTCCCAGACTTCAAACTGTACTACAAAGCCATAATCATCAAAACTGCATGGTATTGGAACAAGAACAGACACACAGACCAATAGAATCGAATAGAAAATCCAGAAATAAACCCACAGATTTATGGTCAACTAATCTTTGACAAAGGAGCAAAGAATATGCATTGAGCAAAGAAAGTTTGTTCAATAAATGGTGCTAGGAAAACTGGGTCGCTACATGCAAAAGAATGAAGCTTGACTACGACCTAACACCATGCACAAAAACCAACTCAAAATGGATGAAAGAACTAGACATAAGACCTGAAACCATAAAATACATAGAAGGAAATATAGGCGAAACACTACATGATATGCACATCAAAGACATCTTTACAGACACATCACCCAAAGCAGTGATAGTGAAGGCAAAGATCTACAGCTGGGACTACATCAAATTGAAGAGCTTCTTTACAGCAAAAGAGACAATAACAAAAACAAAGAGAAACCCCACCGACTGGAAGAACATTTTTGCACACATCACTAATGATAAAGGACTGATCACAAAAATCTACAAAGAGCTGATGAGACTCAACAACAACAAAGAAAATAATCCAGTCAAAAAATGGGCAGAAGAGCTGAAAAGAAATTTCTCTGAAGAGGAAATGCAAATGGCCAACAGGCATATGAAAAAATGTTCAACATCACTTGTAATCAGGGACATGCAAATCAAAACTACCATGAGATACCATCTTACACCAGTGAGAATGGCACATATTAAAAAAACTAGCAACAACAAATGTTGGCGAGGGTGTGGAGAAAAAGGAACTCTCCTGTACTGTTGGTGGGAGTGCAAACTGGTCCAACCACTATGGAGAGCTGTGTGGAGATTTCTGGACCTACTAAACATAGAGCTTCCATATGATCCAGCAATTCCACTCCTAGGTATTTACCCAAAGGACACAGAAACATCAATTCCAAAGAGCACCTGCACCCCTATGTTTATAGCAGCACTGTTTACAATTGCTAAGCTTTGGAAACAACCCAAATGCCCAAAAATAGATGACTGGATCAAGAAGATGTGGTACATATCCACCATGGAATATTACTCAGCATTCAAAAAAGATAAACACATGCAATTTGCAGCAACATGGATGGTGTTGGAAGGGATCATGCTCAGCGAAATAAGCCAAAAAGAGAAAGAAAAATACCGGATGGTCTCACTCATAGCAGGAATCCAGAAAACTTAAATAAGGGACCAGGAAAAAGAATAACTATAAGAAAGAAAATATCAAAATCAACAAACAACTAAGGGCCTCCCCGGTGGCGCAGTGGTTGAGCGCTGGGTTGCGAAGCTGCCCGCAGCCTCTGCAGCGCCGGTTCGATCCCCGGCTGCTCCCCGGCCACCGGCGGAGGATCCCACATGGCGTGCAGACCTCTCCTGCCGCCCGCTGCTCCCCTCAGCAGTGTCCTTCGGTCCTTCTGCCTGCTCTGCTCCCCGCTCTGGCTCTGGTGAATTCTCTCACCCTCCCGCGCTTCTGACTGTACCAGTGCTTGTATAAATAAATAAATAAATCTTAAAAAAAAAAAAAAAAAAAAAAAAAAAAAAAAATCAACAAACAACTATGAACAAGAGACACTCTATGGGGGGGTGGGGGCGGGGAAAGGCGGGATTGGGGTAAAAATAAGGGGGTTGTAATTGTATGGGGAATATAAAAATAAAATTAAATTAAAAAAAAAAAAACAGCTGCTAATGACTTAAAGTTCTCTCCTAACACTTCTCCCCAAGATGAGTTTGCACTTTGCCAGTTTAGAAACATGAAATCAAAGGGGAGAAAATGAGATAAAAGTGTAGTGATCAATTAGAACCTTCTTGGCCCTGAAAAGACAAAACACAGCAGAGGGGAGGGACACAGCTACAATTTCTGGCTAAAGGCAAAGACCATCAGCTCCAAGTTTCTAAGGATAAGCCCCTCTTAATACCTACAATTCTTTTTTTTTTTTTTAAGATTTATTTATACAAGCACTGGGTACAGTCAGAAGCATGGGAGGGTGAGAGAATTCACCAGAGCCAGAGCGGGGAGCAGAACAGGCAGACAGATGGAGGACACTGCTGAGGGGAGCAGCAGGCAGCAGTAGAGGTCTGGACCTCTACTGTGGGACCCTGGCTAGTGGTCGGGGATCGAACTGGCGCTGCAGAGGCTGTGGGCAGCTTCACAGCCCAGCGCTCAACTGCTGTGCCACCAGGGGAGGCCCAATGCCTACAATTCTCTTAATGGACTCTCTGAATCCTCTTTCCTTTCCCCAGCCTTAATAATAGGTAACATTTCTGGGGGCTCAGCATTTTCTTAGAACCACACAGAAAGGGGACCCCGATGGTAATCCAGGGGATTTTCAGTCTGCTTCAGGGCCACCGCCATAAAGAAAGGGAACAGGAGCAGTTCTACTTTTCATACTTTACATTGGGGTTCAATGTAAGGATTACTTTGAGAGAAAATATCTGAAAGCCACTGCCATTTCGTTTAACCCACTTGATTGACAAAAGGAGGAAATTGAGGTCCAGACAGCGGAAAGGGCTTAGGAAAGTCACACAGCTAGCCACTCCATCTGCTGCTCCCAGGCTTCTATTGACAGGTCCCCAAGCCCTCCAAAGTTGGCACCAGAGTTGGGGAGGTCTATGGTCTCCTGAGGGACAACCTACAAGGCCTCCAGGGCTAGGATCACCCCAGAGGAAATCCTCAGCCTCCACTAAGTCCTCTCCTCCTCTGGTCCCAGCTCAGGCTCTTGAACTCTTTGGGAACATCACCCCACCTCACCCAGTGCAAGTCGGGAAAACAGCGTATGGCAAGGGCGCGGGGACAATTGTCTCCTTACCCCTCCCCTATTGGGAATCATCACCCTCGGGCTCAGAGGGGGCTGTCAACAGAAGAGAGGGGACTCCAGCGTTATAGAACTCCTCAGTGCATTGGAGGCGCTCTCTCTCTCCCTCTCTCCCTCTCTCTCTCTCTCTCTCTCTCTCTCTCTCTCTCTCTCTCTCTCTCTCTCTCTCTCTCTCTCTCTCCCTTTTACTCTCTCTTCCTCTCTGTCTCTCTCTCCTCTCGGGGTGCCGAGCCTGGGACCGCTGCCCCCACAACCCCCTTCAGGTCCAAGTGCCAGGTTGCCGAGCGCGCCCTGAGGCGCCCCGGGCCACGACCCGATACACCGTGAGGTGGCGTCTGGGATCGTGGCGGCTGGCCCCCGGGTACATAAAAAAGCGCCCCGAAGCTCTTGGCCCCAGCCAACCCAACTCCGGGACGCCGCGGCAGTCGGGCAGCGCGCCCCGTCCAGCTGTCGAGGGGGCGCTACTCACGGCGGGAGGCGGCGCTGCGGCGGGCGCGGCGGGCACGAGGCGCGCGGGGGTCGCGGCGGGCACGAGGGGCGCGGCGGTGTGCGCGGCGCGGGGCTCTCCTCCGGCGCCCGGGGCCCGCCGGCCAGCTCCACCGGGAAACAGCCGAGGGGGCGGAGCGGCCCGTCCAGTCCCAGGCGCCGGCTGGAGGCGAGCCCCGGCCGGACCTCGGCGCCCCCTGCTGGGATCCCCCTGGGACGGCCCCCGGGGCGGGCCCCGCTGCCTGCCCCGCAGACACCTTCGGGATTCCCCCGAGGGGAGCAGTGCCGAGACCCTCGGGACTTCCTCACCCGCTCTGCCGCTCCCCTGCGTGGCCGTGGGCGGGTCAGCTCCCTTCGCCGAGCCTCACCTGGGAACTGGCTTAAATGGGCGATGTCGCCGGGCACCACCGCTCAGGAAGTGGTCTATCCTTGGTGCTGCTCCTTCCTAATAAGACTTGGGAGTGAATTTTTCCTCTCTTGCTTCTGTCAACCCTCTCTAGAGGGAAAAAGTAATGGGAGTGGAGGGGATGGTGGGAAGCAGAAGCAGGACTTAAGCCAAGTTCAGTAGTTTTACTTGAGACAAGAGGCAGCTTAGGTAAAGGAAATGAAAATGTTTTTCCAGAGCTCCCATCCCTAATTCACACACAGGGCTCCTCTAAACAGTCGTAGAAGAAAGAGTGGTAGATTCAGTCATATTTTTGGTTCAAAGTCCTGCGCTGCCATGCCATGTGTGTGATCTTGGGCATGGCACCTGAGCTTTTTCTTCATCTTGGAGTGGGGAAAACAGCCCTTTTTATAGTGTCTAATGGAGCTATTGTGGAGCTGAAGTGAGTGTAAAATGTGCCCAGAAGACCTCGACAGTGTAAATGACCCTGTTCCATAGCCACCCCCCCACACCCCTTTAGCCTTTCCTATGCTAGGATATTGACCAGTACAAATGAACCCTAACCCCTCCCCTACCCCATCCCTACCCCAGCCCAGCTGACCAATACTCCAGCTTCTGGGACAGCCTGCAGGAAGATCCCAGAGTTTCCAGTTTTAAAGTTTACAACTACTAGGACACTTAAGGTTCTGAGTTTCCTCTCTCAAGATCATCATGCTACCTAGAGTAATTCCAAGACTAAAGGTGGCTCTCAAAGTCAGTGGGCGGAGGAGGACAGCCCATGGTAAGGTTTCACCAGCATAAAGAAGACCTTCATCCTCAGATGAAGCATCTACTCCCCCATTTCCAGTTGTCTATTGTTATGTAACAAACCACCCCAGCCTTGCTGGCAGGAAATAACAATTTTGTTAGATTCACGCATTTTGAGGGTCAGGAATTCTGAGGGTCAGTCATACAGACACAGCCTGTATGACTTATCCCTGTTTCACAATGCCTGGAGCTGCAACTAGGAGTGACGTGAATGGCAAGGGTCTGGAATATTTTGGAGTTTTCTTCATTCACCTGGACTGTGACTGGGCTATGAATTCAAGACTGGGCTCAGTTGACATTGTCCAAGTATATACAGCCCCTCCATCTCTTCTCCTCTGAACTTCATGCTTAATACATGTTTTTCAGCAGCAGGAGCCCTTTGCATGACGCAAGGGGCTTGGATTTGACACTTGGAATATTAGTCTGAGAACTTGCAGCTGGATGGGTCATTGAGTCTGTCTGTAGCCTCTGCAGCATCAGTTTGATTCCCGGCCTGCCAGGGAGATTCCCACATGGCGTGGCAGACCTCTCATGTCTAGCTCACGGCTCCCCTCAGCAGTGTGTTTCGGTCTGTCTGCCTGTTCTGCATCCTACTCTGTCTCTGGTGAATTCTCTCACCAGAGAGAAATAAATAAATAAATAAATAAATAAATAAATAAATAAATAAAAAAACTATATACCCTCAGATGATAGGTTCCACTATTCTATGGTTGGGTCTCTATGGGCACATAATTCAAGTCTTTCTTTCTTTCTTTCTTTTCATCTTTCTTTCTTTCTTTCTTTCTTTCTTTCTTTCTTTCTTTCTTTCTTTCTTTCTTTCTCTCTCCTTTCTCTCTCTCTTTCTCTCTTTCAAGATTTATTTATTTAAAATAAATAAAGAGCTGGGTACAGGCCACAGGTGCGGGAGGGTGAGACGATTCACCAGAGACAGAGTGGGGAGCAGAACAGGCAGACGGACCACAAACACTGCTGAGGGGAATAGCGGGAGAGACAGAAGAGGTCTGCTGTGCCATGTGGGAATCTCCCTGGCCGGCCGGGAATCAAACCCGCACTGCAGAGGCTGTGGACAGCCTCACAGTGCCGCGCTCAACACACTGCACCACCGGGGAGGCCCTCTTTGCTAACCTTTCTTGTGTCAATTTTACTACTCCAGCTTACAGACCTAGAAGGGTACAGGAAGATTAGCTTCCTCCCCAACACTGAGGCCCACTTTGTTCATTTCCAGAGACCTAGGGACATGAAAGCATTCTCCAGCAACCCACCAATCTGCAGACATCAGAACACCTGCTTTGTGCAAGCCACTCCAAGGAAATGAGAGACAGGTGAATCCTGGGAGCGTGAAGCATCCACAGGATGAGAAGACAAGCCCACAGGGAAAGATGTAACTGTGAGAGGGAGCAGAGGGCAATAAAATTGGTGATAGTCTAGAGCACACTTAGGTGTCTGGCAAGCATACAGAGCCTGACAACCCACTGACAAGAAGTGGGCAGGGATTAAGATGCCACTGTGTGTAGGGGCCTCCATGGTGGCTCATGGGGTTAAGTCTCAGCACTATGAGGCTATCAGCAGCCACTTCATCAGGAGTTCAATCCCCAGCCAAGGAGCTAACCACACAGTGCAGCAGACCTCTCCTGGCTCGCCCACTGCCCCCCCTCAGCAGTGTATTTCAGTCAATCCACCTGTTCTCCCCACTCTGCCTCTGATAAATCCTCTCACCCCCCACACCTCTGGCCTGTACCCCAGCTCCTGTATGCATAAATAAATAAAATAGATCTTTTTTTTAAAAAAACAGATGCTCATGTGTGTCATAGAGGATGCACAGAGGGTTAAAAGGCAGGCACTCAGATGCCAGATGCTTGAGTATGCCTCCTAGCACACTACTTACTTATCTTGAGCTCTCTGTGCCTCATTATACTCATGTGTCAAATGGACCCAAAGATAGCACTTATCTTTACAGGTTGTTGTGAACATTCAATCAGTTATGGCTATGTGTGGACTTAGATCAGCAATGGGCACATTGAGCACAAACTGCTCAATGAGTAGTAGCTATTTGTGTTCTTTCTTAAACACCTAGTATGTGCCCCCCTAGAAATGGATCCTACCCATCTTCACATCCCATGCCTCTCCGGTTTGGCCCAGAGCAGATTCTTAGCAAGTGTTAAATGAAGTCTAGGATGCAGACTTCTTGACAATGGTTCCTGTGCTCAGACTCCTTTCTTAGGCTATCTGGGTAGGAGGGGGCATGGGAAGTTCCAGCCTCCTCCCCAGCTGGCTTGCCCCCTTGGTGGAAGACAGCCAGGATGTCTCCTCCTCCCAAAGATAGCTTGGCTTCTCAGCTCTACCCAGCCCTGCCCACCCTGCCTTGGGCCTGCTGCTCTCCTATGCTTGGCCAGGCAGGATTAGGGATATGGAGCTGACTTGGCAGCCCTTCTTTCCTCAGAAAGTTCCAATGGCTCCTGCACCCAGAGGCAATTGCTTCAATCTCTAGCCTTGATAGACTCAGCAAGGCCTTGACCCCACCACAGGGATAGAGTAGAGAAGGGAGAGCATAGATAGAGGCTGGGGCCTGGGAGGTCTTGCCTTTCACTGGAAGTTATGGAGGACGGAGATTTCCTGGGTATGCGTGCACACTCATTCACTCTGAAAACATCCAAGGGCATGTCTTGGAGCTAGGTGCTGAGGGGGGGTAAGCTGTATCAGATCTACTCCAGCAGGCATCACAAAGGGCCATCAGGGAAAGATTGATTTAAACTTAAGAGTAGGAGAGTAAGTGTGGTGAGAGCAGGCAGGAACCTTAAATGTGCAAAGGGCCAGGATATGAAACCAGTTGCCAAGAAAATAATAAAATAAAATAAAAACAAACCAAAGGGAGAGGGGAGAGCGAAAAACACCTGCCATGATTTCCACCTAAGTCAGGACAGGGTCACACTGTAGGATCATGATCCAGGAAATGTCACTGCCTTCTGTCTGACACAGAGGTTGGTGACACGGGCACTGAATGATTTACCAGGACCCCCATACTGTGCCCACCTTCAGGGCTATGACTTCCACCCATATACTTTTCTAGGCTCAAGAATCAGACAGGCCTATTTATATTCCTGCTCAGCCACTTTCTGAGCATGTCGCCTCCCTTCACTGCATCTCAGTTGCCTCAGCTGTAAAATAGGAATAATTACACCTTTCTCTTGGGCCTGATTGGCCTGAGGACCACACAAGATGTTTAAGGAAGCACTGGCACAAAGTCAGTTTCCCTCCGAGAACAGATGTTTCTCTATCTCTCAAGATAGTCTGTCACTTGTGCCATATCTCCCCAGCCATGTTATCCCTGCCAACTGTCTGAAATACTCTCTTCCTTTTCCCTTCTTTATCCACGGCTCAATTCCAGTCTCATTTATTTTTCAAACCTTTCCTCATGCCCACCCTGGACCAGGCCCAGGGTAGTACTCTGAGAGAAATAAAGTACAGGCCCTCATTTCTCCCTCATTTTGGGAGCTCAAAGTCAAGTAGAGGAGAGATCCTGGGAGCAAATCACATAAATCTCATGTTCTGGGGCCAGGCCAGAGCCTGGGAAGAGCCCCAAGGGAGCTCAAATGTGGCAGGGGTGGTCCCTGAGTGCCTGGGACAGAGACAGGGAAGTTCCTCAGAACTCTTCCTAGATGTCACAGTCCTATTTGCGAGGTGATAATATGATTTTACCTTCATGTGTTTAATAGGCCTTTGAGACATTCCTGTTATCCTTCTCCACACTTTGCTGGTAATGTGGCTGAACCCACTAGAGGCCTTTGGTGGATTCACAAAAGAAGGATGGCAGGAAAGCATTTCCTCCT